AACTAATTTAAAAATAATTAATAACTTTTACAAATTTATAAAATAAAACAAGATCTCCAATCCAGATTTGAACCCGGGCCTCTCTCATGGCAACCTCCACTGAGACACTTAACATTTTAGTCTTAATACTCGTAATTAAATTTATTTCATATAGTTTGATTAAAATTATAATGTATTTGTAAATATAGGCAAAATAAAATAGAAATTATATTATTTATAGATTCTACACAAGAATAACTCATTGTTAGTATATTTTTTAGTTATTGAGATTAAATATACATTAAAATGAGTTATTTTTGCCCAAACTTCATCTTCGTGCGATATGGCCACCATATCCACTCTTGTTGTACAAACTACTATAATTGAACGAAATGGAATACTTTTTCGTTTTGTAGTCTGTGCGTAGATAAGCTATGTTGGTGTAGAAAACATTATTTAGGAACCTAATAGCTTTGAGCGCAAATATCTTAAAAACCACAATCATCTCAATTAGTCAAGTAGGCAATAGATACTTACAAAATAATGTGGAATGAAAAAATATGTCATTATGACGAATTACGACAGTGGCGTAAAATATAGAGGTTGAAACTAAGTCTCTACCCCTTTCGTGCGTCTCTGGTAAAAATGAGATACTCTCTTCTACAATAATTTTAAGTCTCCTAACGCAAGAACTTTTGTACAAGTACCTATAAATAAAAAAATATTGGAAAGTATCGTTGCAATGGGCAAAAAAAAACTTTTAATTTTTAAATAAATCTTTTAGGAGGAATATTTTACTTAAATCGTCATATTTTGACTTAAATATTCTCTAGCATAATTAAACACCCTGCATATAGAATTCTTCTAAAACCCGAATGGAACTACTGAATAGAACTCTGGAGAACTGCCCCCACAAGAAAGATTAAAATTCTCTAAATATTTCAATCATAAGACCTCAGGATTATCACAGAAGGTGGTTTATTTCAAATTATGTAATATCCAAAGACCTACTGGCGGAAATTACCAATTATTCTAAGAAATATGCCATCAGATTCGACTAACATCCAAACAGCCTTGTCAAGAACATACTGAGACTATGCCAAGAAGAAGAGTAAAGAAGAAAAACTACCAAGTGATCTGTTAACCTGATATTCATCGCAGACTTCTCCTGAAGTCAAACTTCAGTTCTGTTACCAGAACATAAAATTATAACGATAAATGTTAATGACAATTTTGCCTTCGCTCCTGTATCGTTCTATAATTTACTTATTATAACTAGTATTACAGATTGGAAAAAAATTTGGAAAAATCAAACTCTGGAGTACACCGTTGTAATCTACTCTGCCTTAGGTTAACCACAAGTATCTTGTCAATAAGGAAGAGGATCATTTTCCTTCTATTATTCAGGAAATAGGTCAGCATAACGTCTTCTACAATTGCCAACATCTTCTTCATATTCCTTTATTAGTCAAAATGGTGAAATTCCTTACCATAAACATTCCTCAATTTAGTCGAAGTAGCTGTTGGGGATTTATCTCTAATATCGATGTAAATTTTCTGAATATATTTATAGAATTGAGTATTATTTTCATAACCAAACGGCTTATAAATATATACCAAAAGTCTCATTACAAAATCAAACACATATTTATTTTCATACCTATAAATATCTTTGTACCATAAATAACTAGCTAGTGTACCAATTATCTTTATTTTTTGAAATAATTGGAATCTTAATAGTAAAAACTGTAAAAATTATCTGACGTTACCTGTAGATTTTTGTAGATTCAAACTTTTTTTTTCAGGTGGAAATGACAGGAAGTAGTATATTTGATTACATCCACCATCAAGATCACTCGGAAATCGCCGAACAGTTAGGATTAGGTCTTTCACAAAACCAAAGTCTGGCATCGCCGGAAAGTGGCTCGGAAGAGAGCACTTCAACGGCAGGAACAAATAATCCCGACGGTAAGTCAGAATTGGATTTTTTACAACCAAGTAGCGTTTTTGTAAAAGCTGATTAACCAAGAATAACAATCTAAAAGTAATATTTATTTTACTTCATAAATAAATTTATAATAAAATCATATTACCCAGCTTCCTGTCCCTGATGCTGTCTTGTTACCAAATGTCAAGAAGTTAAGTTGAGATCTTGTTCACGTATTAAATTTAACTCAGGTAGCCAGTAACTAACTCTTAGTATACTGAAAACATAACAAGCTTTATCTCAAGTGTCATCGGAACGAATTGTTTTATGAATACCGGTCTTGCAGACAGTTTCATTCATGATGTGATGTATCCTATAACAAAATGCATTGTTACAATAATTCCTAAATACTGACTTTCTCACGAAAATTTCTGTTTAGTGATTTTGATCTCTGCATAAAAATTTCGTTATATATATGCCATACCTAATAATACAGTAAACAATTTTGGGTTTTAATTTAATTTAATTTTATATTGATACAAGTAAGGAAATGGGCCTAAATTTATAAGTAGTGGTACTGTGTCTAATTTTTTATAACTATACTGGCGATTCCGTTTGGCAAGCGAGTTCTGGGACATCCTGTATACAGTGGGAGGATTAAGCCTCACCCCCGTGTCAACTCGTTTATTTTAAAGGGTAAAAAAACGCTTAATCGCGTCGTTTAATCTCAAGTATCAAAGTTTCGGTATTCCTGTAAATCCTCGTCAGTTGATAGCCAACCCCTCAATTTTTTAAATAGCAATATTTGTCGTATGACACTTAATTGAAAAGATAATTTTTATGGGAAATTCATAAATACGCATGCGTTTGACAATTTCATACTGCTGTTAGGTAAAATCTACTAAAATTGTAATGTACGAGCATGAACAAATCTAGTACGTTTTAATGAAATGGTACGAACAAAATGTCTGTTCTGGCAACACTGGACCAAGTTTCAATCAATTCTCAAGGATAATAGATCAAAAAAAATTGTCACCTAGCGTGATATTTGGAAAGATTATTTAACAATATAAACAGAACTTCTAAGTAAAATTTAACGTTAATTTTATTTGTTTACAAAATTAATATTATTATTTGAACAACCAAAACCATTTTTGTCCATTTTGCGTCACATTTTTGACAAATTTGACATTGACATTTCACCATGCGGTGTTTTCAGATACAGTTTGTTTTGATTGGCGTATGTTGGAAAAATAGAATTGCCTTTGGCTGATGTATTATGCAATGATACATCCAGCACTCACTTTGGTTATGGGACTAAAAAGAACCAATTAGAACGGGATACGTCACGACTGTGGGCGGGATCGATTGACAATTAACACGTAGCAGTTAGATTTTTTAACCTAACATTTTTGTTTGTTAGTTTGTGCCAGTTTTTGTTTTGGTTTTGCTCACGGCCAAATATTTACAGTAATAATCCTTCCTCCATGATTTACAGTTATAGTGTGTGTACATACAATCCATGTACAATCGTGGTTTTGATGTTTGCTTTTACCATAGTTGCTTACCGAAATAATGGATATCGCGCCACTACCCTCTTTGAATGATGAATTTAATGTAAGTACAACATTTTTGTACCTTGTTTCTCTAAGACGAAAATTAAGCCTTTCAAGTAAAAGTTCATATTTGTTTTCTTTTGTATAACTACTAATTAAATATTTTTGCTGAGAAAATTGGTACCTACATGTATGTTCATAAACATAAAGTACAAACTGCTAGGATTTTTGTGTAATTAAATCTTTATTTTTCAGTCAGTTTTTCCACCTGGTTGGGGAACAACAATTATTGGTAAAAAAATAGTAGAGGGTGAAGATAAGTTCCCGAATGTAGAATTGCATTTTTTCATCAATTGCACCAATGAAGAGGAGTTTGGAAAGTGGTTGATGGAGTTTGAAAATTCAACAAGTTCATCATACGTTATCGCCTGTACAGACGTTGAGAATGGAGCTAAATTGAAACTGAAAAGAAGACTAAGGTAATAAAGGTTTTATTATTAATAAAACCTTTGGAAAACACAGATTTTACAGGTTACAAAAATTAGGTAGTAAATTAATGTAATAAATATCACATTTGTTTATGCTCTTATTTATAATGTAGGTTATATTATTTGTTACATGTAGGTTTATTACAGTTTATTATTATGTTACCTGGAAAATTTAATTTTAGGTGTCATCATTCTACACGGTGCACTAAAACCTACAACCCGTCCTTAAAAAACAAAACTAGAAACACCAATTATCCTTCGAAAATAACTGTAAAGATACATGTTATTAGAAAAAAGTATAGGGGCAAGAAAGAAAATTTCCAACTCTTACAAGAGGCGCCTTGTGAGGTTAAACTTATTTTAACACACAACCATATGACCAATACTGCAGATTCTTTACGGTTTCGTAAAGTTTCTAAGAATGTAAGAGAAGAGTTACTAAGTCTTTATAAGAATGGCCATACAGCAGGAACAGCTTTGGAGATGATTAAATGTAACATTCAGCTTACCAGGGATGATTATGTGACAGCTTTGGCAGACCGTAATATATGTCCAACCTATAAATACTGTTATGATCTATATATGAAAGAGTTTAAAGAAAATTATGGACCTATGAAATTTGATACAGAGGCGAAAATGTTTTTAGAAAATAATCTTACACTGTACAATGCTGAAAAAAGAGAAACAATAACAAACATTCTAGAAATGTTTATGGTATGTTATAAACTTAATTAAATGGGTTTGGTTCGGTTTTGGTATTTTATTTGGTGGTTATAATATGTATTTTTTTATTTATCGTTTGTATGTTTAGAAATAATTTAACTTGACAGCAGATATTGTTGAAATTGTATTAGTTCAATTTAATGAACTAGGTATACTATAATGTAAACCTTCCTATTTAGATTTGTAAAATACACCACTAATTAATTATTTTTTGTGTCCCAATTCAATTTATAAATTGGCAACACAAATAATTGAAATTAAATTTGTATAGATTTCTTTAAGGATGTGCACAACTTTATTTTCTAAAGCTTTTCTTAAATTATTTCATTGACTAGAATTATAATCATTTTTAGGAAGTGGCCAAAATCGAAGAGGACGAAAAATTCCTATACAAAGTACTGCTGTAGCTAGAAGAAAAATTAAGAAAAAATCATCAAGACAACTAAAACGATTACGTAATAATACATATGATACAAGTAGATGCGTAATGCCTACTAAATAAAAAATGTTATTAGTTAAATAAACTATTTTTTTAAATTAAACTGCTTATTTTTAAAATTCCTAATGAAATATTTAAATTTAAAAACCGTTTAGGTAATGTAGCTGTAGCATAAAAAGTAATTATCGTAACTGAGGAGTTGGCGGGAAAAACGATCAAATTCGGGGTGGATGGTGCCATCTAAAGATTTTTGTATATAATATATGCCTGGTAAACAGTTGCTGCAAAACGATTAAGATCTCTATAATACACCTAACAGTTATTTATGCAACTAGTGCGAAAAGCACTCTTTTCACACTGTTACATACAATATTTTTCGTAAAATAAATGATAGTAAAATTCTAAAACAAAAGTATTTTCCTTTACACCTTGTAGAAATACCGGCAGTTTTGTTGGAAATTTCCTGTCATAACCGCATCAAATTTTTGTTTTTAATTGTCTGAATTGTCAAGATGATCATTTGTTGGTAATTTTTAGGTGAATTTGTTCGTTGAAAGCTTATTAGAAAAATGCCTTTAAAAGTGTAGTAATTATTCATCTAATTTAGTTATGTCAAATATTAGTAATTGTGTAATTAATATTTATAATAAATTTTGTGTATTATTTGCGCTTCCTATGAGACAACGCTCGGAAGTAAAAAAAAACGATTTTCTCAGTTTCAGCATAGGCACACCTTCATCGTTTTCCTCGCTACCTCCCCAGTTACTTTCAAAACGAGCGCGCTTTTATGCCCCGCCTATAATTTGGCGTTCGCGCGCTGTTATTGGCTCTTCCACGTCTCATAGCGGAACTGTGGGCTCGATGTAGTATTGCATGTATTATAGTATATAATAATCAGTTATAGTTAGCATAGCGTATAGTTGAGTTAGGTATAAAGGTTATAGAATTTGTGTTGAAAATTAAAAATTGGAAGTTTTTTTCATCGTAGTCGCTATTATTATACTCTTCACACAGTATGGATACGCCTGCCATTCTCGAGGCATTGTTTACCACGTTGCAGTTCTATTAAAAATTGTATTGTCAGTGTACGGAAAAAAAGTCCATTAGTACATAAAGAAATTGGCGCTGCAGTTACGCACGGAGTGAATAAGAATACATTACATACGACATAATTTTAGAAATTTAACTTCAATGGAAAGGATACTAACAGTGATAAAAAATAAGGTAGTGAGTAGTTCACTGTTAAACAACTGACCCAATATAACTAACATTGAATACACACATGGTAGGTAGGTACCTAGAGTTGGATTTTATGTAGTCCACTCTGTGTACACCGGTACAATTTTACAAGCTAAATCGATAGGAAGAGGAGTCACCGTTTATGTGTTTAACTTTCGTATAAGGTACGCATTCAAAATGAACGATGAACGATGACAATGATTTTAGTCACAACACGTATCACGAAGCATAAAATTTGTAAGCAAATACGGCAACGCCTACTACTACCGGGGATGAGCGACAGTCATTCTGACTTATTAGAAGCCTCCAAAAAGAAAGAGTTTTCAAATATATGCAAGAATAAAAAAGGTACTCATGTGGAATTTTTAATGGAAGTATAATGTAAACAAACGGTTTTCTGGGGGTATCAGTTTTATACGAGGGTTTACTTAGATAATTTAAATTTTCTGACCTCTAGGGTTTGATGATGGATAGATGGAGATCATACCTACAATCAAAGCTCAGATTTTTCATCGTTTTCTTTTATAATGATCAATAATAATAAAAATAACCATTACACATTTATTTCTAAATTCTTTTAAGACCAATCTCTATAATACACCTTGTGAATACATGAATTCGCCGTGCTATCTTTGGTTCTCTTCAATTAACTTAATTAGAAAGAACCCGGAGTTGGCGCGATGTTATCCATTTATGTGAATTTTCTAAATGAATTTAAAAAAAATATTAAAAACAATTTTTAATTTTTTTTTAATATAATAATAATAAAAATAACCAATAAATTATTTTATTCAATTTTTATAAATAAATCAATACTTTTGTTTGATCTCCGTAAGAATTGTACAAATATACCTCGATCATGTGGGTGCCAGGAAATGAGGGCATAACACATACCTAGTACAGAAATAATGTGATTAATGATGCAGAACGAATTGGTCTAAAATTAGTTTAAATTTAATTAAACATGACCCCGTCAATAAAAATACTAATCGATCCCAATTTCCAACAAATTTAAATTACTTTCTAGAAATAGTACAGACAATATTTTACGATTGTAAATGTTCGCATAAATCCTAAGAATAGTCAAATCGTTTGTATACTTGACCAATGACGGGCCTTTATTATCTTATTGTACTCTTCACTTTACTTTGTGCGTCCGTCAGATGTTTTTTGTCCGCACGATAAGTCAAAAACGAAAAATAATATTAACTTGAAAATTTCAAAAAAATCAAGCTCTATAAGGGGTCAAATGCTATTGATTTTTAACAAATCTGATTAAAAATGGGGATAAGGGGGATTGAAATTAAAAAAAAATAAATAAATCAAAAACGAAAAGCGATATTCACATAGAATTTTTAGTAAAAAATCAAGGTTTATAAGGGGAAAAAGCCTATTGATTTTGAAAAATCTGAATAAAAATCTGATGTGTCCAACGCATGACTTTCCTATCTAGTTATCATAGGCTTTTTCCGGTTATTTTGTACAACCTATTGCAGCATCTCTATAAATGTTTAGAGGATAAACTAAATATATACATTGTCCACATACATCTACCTCGAAACATTTTTCTATAGATATTCATTGGAAACGAAAATACTGAAAAATTTTAATTTATCACTTTTCCATTACGGTCCATTTTAGAAAAATCATGTATAAACAAAAATTACAGAGATCGATATCGCAAACAACTTTTAGTTCAACAATTTTCATAAAAATCAGAATTTTGCACATTTTGTCAAATATCTCGAATACGGTTCATTTTAGAGAAATTATGTATAGAATAAAAATTATAGATAATTATGTTACAAATAACTTTTATTTGAACAATTTTTATAAAAAAATATTTTTTTTTTCATTTTGTCAAATTTCTCGAATACGGACCATTTTAGGAAAATTTTGTATAGAACAAAAATTATAGATATTATTAAAAGTAACTTTTATTTGAAGAATTTTCTTCTCCAAACGTAAATAACAGATATATTCCATAAAATATAAAAATTACCACCTATAAAGTACCCCCCATGTTCCAACTCTGCCCAAAAACTAATCAGTTCATTGGAGGATGAAATAAAGCTTAAATTTAAAATTTGGTGTTTTTCTGTGTATCGGTTCATGAGTTATGGTGGATACATACACACATACACACACACAGACACACACACACACACACTGACAGACATCATCGCGAAAATAGTCAAAACGGATTCAGGGGACCTCCAAACGTAAAAATCCGTCGAAAACTCGAGGTCGAAAAAAATCATGATTCCTATACTTTCCTTATATCTGTATACAGATAGGAAAGTAAAAATTAAGTTTTATAAGGGGACAAAGTCTGTTGATTTAAAAAAAAATCTGATTAAATAGGGGTCAAGGGACGTTGAAATAAAAAAAATTAGAAATAAAAATCAAAAGCGATATGAATACAAAATGTTCTATAAAAATCAAGTTCTATAAGGGAATAAATAAATAAAAATGGGAAGATAAGGGGGGTTAAAATACAAAAAAACGAAAAAGTTCAATATATCTTTGACACGATTTTCTGGCTCACTGTGTCTAACTTGTTTCTTTATTCTTTACAAAGTGATATAAATATTAAATTATTATTGTATTCAAGATTGATTATCAAAAGCTTTGTCACATCTCTGCTTAGATGTGGTTTAAAACGGGATCATAGTTTTCTAGATTGTCTGACGTTGTAGAGGAAAACCTAATACACGCATGAACGTTTTCCTATGTATAGATATATGCAAAATTTCGGTTGTACCTATTTGATGATGAAAAGAAGGAGTAAAGAAATGTACTAAAGGCAACAGCAGCAACCCAGCATTCCTGGGCGTGACACGTAGCGTCAACACGGAATAACAATTGACCACGTACACAAGCCGCTTTCTGCATGTTAAAACCACAGTTTCCTGTCAGAATCATACAACTCTATGGTTCATAACCTGTAAGGACTATTCACTATTCGACGGAACACCCAAATTTATGAACCGATTCATTCTAAAGTGAAAATAAAACTCCGACAATTAAAGAGACCAAAATGTAAAGATTCAAACTGCAAAATGATTGGATAGACTGACTTGTTACAAATTAGTAATTGATGTACAGGTAGCTACAGTATCAAACTTACATTTTATTCCAGTTTAAAACTAGATTGAGGTGTTTTTTTTTTATAATAGAAAGAAATTTAAAATATTATACAATAGTTGTAAACTTACAGCTACTGAGAGAATATCCAAAATAAAACATATTTTTTTGAAAATTTGCTTATTATATCTACTTAATTAAATTTTTAACTTTTTATCCCTTCTTAAAGTTTGTAATTATGTAATTTAATTTTAATAAAAAGATGTAGGAGTAGTAACTACAGAAAGCAACTTCTTCACATTTTTTAGAAGACTAAAAACATGGATGGGATCGCACATGACGAACCATTGTCTACTAATAGGTGCGTTTTAATCATCCGCTTCTGCTTCCGGAATTGTCGGTTTAGTCGTTTTAACATGTCAGATTAAAACAAGAAAACCGACAATTCCGCAGCAGAAGCGGATGATTAAAACGCACCTATTGTTGGCTTGTTTAAATATTATTATACAAAATATTATAATTATTGATAGGTAATGGAAAACATAAAAGAAAAATAGAAATTGTAGTCTAGATCTATAAGAAAATAACAAAAATAAAATTGTTTTGATGTGAATTCTATTTTTTTTGTAACCCACGCCAACCAAAACAATTATATCGCCCCCCTCATCAAAATCCTGGATCCGCCACTGGTGGCATATCTTTAAGCCAGACTAGTTTGGAACATGTTCTTTAATTATGCACTGGAAACTAGCCATTTTACTTAAATAGAAATGGATATCTTACTAAAAAGCTTTCATATTTTTTCAATTTATAATTAGTTCACTTTGATTTAAGAAATTTACCGAAATTCCAATAGGAACTACTAAAAAGTTAAGAATAAGAAGATTATCCATATCTCAAATGTGGTGTATCCGTAAAGGAAAAACTCTACCTAAGTCTTAACCACAAATTGTCACAAATTATTTAAATTTTGTTTAAAACTACTCAACATTTGTCAAATTTTCTTTTTAACACCTTTTTTCTTCATCGTCATTTATTGTTAAAATACCTTAAACATTGTTGTTGTCTTGCCAACTCTTTAAGGACTAAGTTAGTAATCTGATAATTTTATCACATGTTAATTTTTAAATTTCATATTCTCATTTATCTTTAACCCGCAGTAAGTATTAAAATATTGTTTCACTTTAATCAAATTAAGTCTCATTGCATACTTTCTTACAGGCCTGATGATGGTCACTGACCGAAACTAGTCGCTTTTCCTGTTCTCATAACAATAAATAATTTTTGTGGTTAAGACTTAGAGTTTTTCCTTTCCTTTACTAAAAAGTTGACCAAGATTGTTACAACTACTGTTTTGTGTGATAGAATTTTAGACTATGTCATTAAAAATAAAACAAACCTATTTACTTTTTTTTTATTTGCAGTATCCACGTCGATGACGTTAGGAGCAAATCCACCATACAAAGGGCTCGATCGAGCGTTTTGTGTTAGAATGAAATCAACTTTAACAAAAAGAGGCTGTCATTTTAAATCTTCGGGTTATAGGGTAAGTTAAATTTTTGTATATTACAAAATATTTTTAAACCCTGTAGTACGTACGAAAAGGCCCATTGACTCAACCTTGCAGTATACCCGATAAATGATCCAAAAAAATATTAATAATTATAGACTAGTTAGGATATCACACAGCTTTTTTTAAAACATTTGATTATGCATTCCAACTCTATCATTTTATAATAAAACATAAAAATCATACAATTAAATTAAGGAAAATATAAAAACTACTACTGTACTACAAATTTATAGAATGTGGTTATTAATAACTAAAGAAAAGAAAAACTATTATGCTTTTTTTATTGGTCTGACCCCCCAAGTTCATATCATGGGTACGCTGTTGCTATCAGGTTCTCAACAGTAACCAATATGGTTGAAGATTTTCAGTTTCTAATATCATTGCTTTGTTTTCCTTTTAGTAAAAAATATTGAATATATTGATGAGTGATTAGTGTATGCCCTGCTGTAATTTCTTATGACCTCGGCAGAACATTTGACTGTGTTAATCTCGATATTTTATTATCCAGATTGGAGAATATTGGCACAAGAGGCATCATTTCTTAAAGGCATGTCTGTAGAAATAACAGGAGATGTAACTACAAACTAATATCGTGCTGTCACGAATAAAACATAATCTAAGGGCAACAGGAGGGTATAATATTTCCTATTGTCATGCCTATTTCATTATTCTCGTTTTGTTTACAAAATTATTTACATATCTTAAAAAAGTTAAAATAATCCAACATATTTTATTGCAACTGACTTAAAAAATTTGAATCATCAGTTATATCAGATTTAACTAAATTAGATGTAATAATTTTCAATAAATTCTGAAAGCTAGTTAATGTTAAATTGGATATCAAGTATTTTGAACTAGATGTGGCAACAGGGCTTGGCATTGTGTATGTTGTTTATTATCGGCGTACAACGGCTTACACATATATTCATTGATAAAATTGTTTTGTAAATCCTTTAGTTTATCCCTTCCCTTACCTCTCACTGCATGTCTCTTTACTCCTGATCTTCAACTGGCGTCACAAATATTATATATTTTATCAGTGAATAGCTATATATCTTGTTATCTCTGCATGTCTCAGTTTGTATCCATTAAAATCCAATAGTAAAGATCAATATCAAAATTTTAATTCATCATTTTATTCTTGTGACAATAAAAATAGCTATTTGTGTATTAGGTAAGAGCGGAAAGTGCTACTTTGCCCCATAAGATAAAAAGTTGCCGCGCGACGCGTAGCGGAGTGCGGCATTTTATCGTAAGCGGCAAATAGCTTTCCGCTCGAATCATACACAAGATTTTTTATACGATCACACGATATTAAAAGTATATAGTTTTATTTTGCCGAATTCAAATCTTACTACGTTAATTTAACAGGCACTGCTAACTTGACTAGCAAACGAAAAGTTGTTATGTTATGTGTATATTGCGTTGCCTTGAAGATTGCCTTGAAGATTAATTTTATGATTAGCATAAAAAATATTTGTTAGTAAGTACCTCTAAAAAATAACTTCCAAGATCAGTTAGAATACTCTTAATCGCAAATTGATGGCTCATCCACTGTTTTAATGTTTTAGTTTTACAAATAAAAAAATCAATTTAAAATAAAAAAAAATTAACTGGTGAGGATTGAACCCACGATCATCAGGTTCAAAGACAAACGCGCTAGGCTCTACACCAACAAGAGATATTAAATATGAGTGTTAAAAACAGGGTAATTTATTTTTAATATTTTAATTATCATTTAAATATTAAGGAAAATGAGTTTGAGTATTAAATGTTCAACTAAAAGATTCAGATTAGTCTAATTTTCTTTTAAGATACAGATTAGCTTTATAATAACCTTTCTAATGAAAATAGGCGTGTGCAAAAAGTAACTTTTCGCCTATATGCGGCAATAATGTCAAACTATGACAATTCATGGAAAACATCAATTTTCCAGTTAGATTTGAATGTGCAAAAGCCTACTTTGGATAGTGATCGTAGAAAAATATATATATAAAGCATTCTTATTTAATTTGAAAGTCTAAGTCTCATAACGATTTTATAGGATTTAATTTCTATAAAAAAAGCATTGGTGCCAAGATGAACTTTGACTTTTGTTTCAGGTTGTTTTAATATTAAGCCGGTTAAGGCCGCAGTATACCTTCTCGCACACACGAAAATCGCAACCACCGTTATTAGGAATGGTGGCGCTCGCCATAGCTCTTCCACCGCCTAGCGTACATGAAATTAGGTTAGAATCCGATATGTTCGTTACTAGGATAAATTTCGATTTCAAAATAGCTCATTGTGAACCGAAAGTGATAGATCTCTTAGATTATACGGCAGAAGAACTGACCGGCAGGAATCTATATTCTTTGTGCCATGGAGAAGATGCTGCCAAATTAAGAAAATGTCATGTCGATTGTAAGTCGTGCTTTATTTATTACGGAAATACTTTTGAAAATAGAACCAATAAATGTTTTAATAAATTATATTTATTAAATGTTCTGATCGAGAGCTCATTATCTTTTATCTTCTTCGAAATTTTCAGATGATAATAGATACAATAAAAAATGTGGGATGTATAATTTGTTCATAGATATACCGTTTGAATTTAGACTTTATATTTTACCCGGTAGATAACAATAATCAGCATGGTATTTTAAAGAGAATGGTTGGATTGTACTGATACTTGAAAATTAAATTACAAAAAAATTAGGCAAGTGCAAGTTGTATTTGCCCAATAGCGCTTTAAAACAAATACTTCGGTAATTATGTTGATATATTTAGGCCAGGCGCTGATACAAAATATCAGTATGCTTAATTTTAATTTTAGTTCAATCGACACCTTATTCTCAACGTTCGAGAATTTTTTCAGATACTTCTGAGAGTTACTTTTGAAGACAAGTTGAAAGAAAAATATTTTTTAAGTGTTTTTCGAAAAATCTTAAAGGAAAAGTAACGCAAACGATGGCATCAGAATGTTTGCTCTAATTTCCAATTTAACACTCCTAAAAATTACCGTCAAGATAAAAAAAGTATTTTTTTAGTTAATGTCTGTATTCTGGTCACTATTTACTACATCATACCTTAAATGTCTCGTGGTTCTCAGTAGCACTCGCCAGCCCTCGTATTTTGTCAGATTTTGAATTTGAGTGGAAGATAAAATAGTTTCTCTCGTTTACTCTTGGTGCGATTCGTTTAGTGATGCCCCCTGTAACAAATTATAAAATAAATAAAATAATATTCTTACGTTTGAATATATCTTGGGTTTTGATATTTAAAATTGCAGAGTTCTTATAGAGTTCATTTATGACCGGCTGTTTCTTTTATTATGTGCTATTTTGGGTAACATTACAGAGGCCAAAAAAATCTACAAGGTTTATCAATTCTCGAGTTGTACAGTGAAACCAAAAATATCATTTTTTTGCACAAAGAAAATTTATTTAAAAAGTACCAAAAGGCTTTTGACTACCTGAACCTTTCTGTTTTGGGGTGAAAGTAGCTGCTGTAGAAAATTATTAAGAATTTTAAGTACCTATTACGGTATTTTTACCAAATTACGAATAATTATCACCAAATTCAATAAAATTTAACAAAGTTTTTTTCATTTTATGTATATTTTTTGCGAAGCAATCCGAGATGACTCTAGACCACTCAAGTTAGGTAACTTGGACAAATTTTTTTGTTTTTTCCTAAATAAATTCTAATTTAGAACATTTATTTATACTTTTCAATGTATTATTGCTTGTTTTAATTTTTATTTATACAATAAATTACAGGCCCGAATTTGCATGTTATTTTTGAACGTCCATTTGATCGGGACCCAATTTATATGTACCCAAAATATGCTATATCAACGTATACCATTAAATCTTCGATTCATGATTTTTTTATGGTTTGGAATGTAGATTTTACTACTTATTACAATAATTGTTTCTTTTTGTCAAATTGGGACCAAAACACTAAAAATGTGTGTCATACGGTGCAAACCTATTCAACCTTGGAATTAAAATATTTATTTACAAATTGAAATAGTCCGTCTCTGTGACGCTGCTCTAAGGTTAGGACACCTAAATGAATAAGCAGGGTATGAAGTCAAGCGGTATATCCATGAATGAACGTCACAATTTCGTTTAAATCTGTTCATTGACTAAGGGAGTTCCTTTACCTAATGGTTTGTGCAATATTTGGAAGAACCATACACAGAAATATAAATGTTTTACTGGTTTTATTTCCAAAAGTATTTTTTTTTACATTATGGGACAGGTTGATTTTTGATTTATAATATACAGGTGTATTTAATTGTTTTTAAATGATATGTCCCTCAAATTCTGATGCTGACTTGCAGAGTCTCTGGAAATTATTTTTATATTGCCACAATAATTACTGGACAACCATTTCTATTTTTTTTTAATTGCATCTATTGTGTTTAATAATTATTGAGATCTTGTATACGTTTAACATCCTAATGTCATTTCGTACTTGTGTTTGTAAATTTCTAAACTTTTTTACAATTTAAATTACCAACATTGACATCTCCGTTATAACCGGAAGAGATATCAATATTTTAGAGAACTAATAAATGCAATTATTTATCTATAACTTCTCAATATTACCTTCTGCTTTTGTTGTTTTCACAGTAATAAATAAAGGCCAAGTTCTAACACACTACTATAGGATAATGAATAAAACTGGAGGATATACTTGGATTCAGACGTGCGCCACTGTGGTGTGCAACTCAAAAAATGCAGAGGAACAAAATATTATTTGTGTGAATTATGTGATAAGGTGAGCCACTTCGTTTTTTATGATATTATTTATAATTCATAATTGTTTGTCCAATATTAAACTGGAAAATGTGTATATGGATAAATCCTGAAATGGACCAACAATTATCAAATCATTTATTTATTATCAGTGGCGGACCAGGAAAGTTTCTAATAGAGCAAAATTTAAAAAAAAATTATTTAATATTTGTAAGATTTTAACAGGAAGAGCCTTTCCTAGGTCCGCAAAACGTCTACCTTGCGCCCTACCATTCTTACTATAATTTTTATATTATAAAACCTATATATCTATAATTTATTTTTTTTTATAATCTTTTCACATTTATATTTGATTTATACACCTATACTTATTTTAAAAGTCTTTTTTAATACCTTGATATAGCATATTTGCATCAGTAATAGGATCTTTTGGTAAGGCTGCTATTATGATTTTTTTACTATATTTTTAGACAATTTTATTCAATTAATACTGTTAATTGCTAATTTATACATATTTCTTTGCAAAAGATATGATTTTCTATAAAAAAAAGCTCTTAATCTAGTTTTAAATATAATAATTTTATTTAACTTATTTTATTAAAAAGAAAATAAACAAACTTTTTTAAAAATAAACATTTAAAAATGAGAGTAAACGAAATAGCAATGTTTTTAAATTAGACAAAACACCATCCGCCAAAACACCGTGGAAATTATTCAAAACAAGCCACTTCTGAGGTGAACCTCAATTGTCAGATGTCCCTGATTGTAGAACTCAGATGGCGCTTCGTTTGTCAATATTGCCTACTCGAGGGAAAAATATCAATTTTCGTTCTCATAATGTAAATATATGACCCCAATATTAATAATGAAAACTTTTTTAATATTATTGTGGCAGTTAAATAAAAAATATACAGGGTGTTGCGTAATGATATTTTAACAACCATTTAAGGGGGATTTTCTTATAAAATTTTGTAATTTGAGTCCTCTCTGTCGAGATATTTAAGTCTCAAAATGGCGAAAAAATTAGTTTTCATTTTTTTATGGGGATGCACAGAGTATTTCTCAAGATACCACCAGTTTTATTTGAAAACCGTATCGATTTCAAAGACCTGCATATTGCAAAAGATACAATTAAAAACCAATATTTTTGCTGTAATAGGTTTTAGGTTTTATGCCCGCGCCACACAATACTTTTGTACAGGGTGAGTCAAAACTCCAATAATAATTAACCACCATTCAAAAGTACCCTAATTATACTTTCATTTGAGTTAAGCATTGCCCATTAAGTTAATAGTTTTGGGAGATTCTTTAAGTTTTAAAAAACTGGTCATTGGTTAATAGAAAATACACTGTTTGTTAATTAGTAATTAGGATTTAACCAGCTGCAATTTATTATCGACTGAATACGTTTTGGAAAATATCTAATGCCACTTTTACATTCAATAACAGGTCATTGAAATCAAAACGATTTTCTTATATCGTGTGAAATACTTTGTGAATTCCCATACTATTTGGTATTGATATGATGAGAAAAGCGAAGGTATTTCAAATATAAAACTAAATACAGGGTGATCCATTTAAAAAATCGTGTTTGTTCTAGACTGAAGTTACTGAACCCTGTATGTCGTTTAATGCTGCCTACCGATCTATAAATATTTGTTTATCTCTATTATAGTGAGGGAGATATCGCGATTTTTCACAATATTGAATCACTCTGTAGAATAGAAAGCTTACGTTAATTTCTTTAACCAATTTCTTTAAATCGTTCGCAAAGTATTTCAACGAAAATAATGATCTCGATTTTATATTACTATTTTAATGAACTTGGAATTCGAACTTTTTCAATCTTGTTCAACGATTCCCTGATGAACTGAACTTCTAAAAGTTTTAAACAGTTATAATTTCACTTAAAAATAGGGTGATTTTTGGTACCTTATATTGACAAAGAAAAAATACGCTTTTGTAACGAATATATTATATTAATAAAAAACATCCTTGAGAATATCCTTCAGTTAAAGAAACCACAGGATATTAGAGATGCCTCAATAGAATCGCTGCAAGGAGCATCGGTTTATTATGACTCAATCAGAATAATGGGTCGTAAAGCCTATAAGTGCTTATATTTTTAAAATTATCTGTCTTTAAGATTATCTATTTTTAAGATTATCTGATTATCTATCTTTAAGATTATCTGATTATCTATCTTTAAGATTATATATCTTTAGGATTATCTATCTTTGGGATTATCTATCTTTGAGATTATCTATCTTTGAGATTATTTATCTGTGTATCTATCTTTATATCTATCTTAAATATTATTTGTCTTTGTATCTAGCTTTGTATCTAGCTTTGTATCTAGCTTTGTATTTATCTTTGTATCTATCTTTGAGATTATCTAACTATCTTTGAGATTATCTATTAATCTTTGAGATTATCTATCTTTGAGATCATCTATTTTTGAGATTATTTATTTTTGAGATTATCTATCTTTGAGATTATCTATCTTTGAGATTATTTATCTTTGTATCTATCTTTGATATTATTTGTCTTTGTATCTATCTTTGTATCTAGCTTTGTATTTATCTTTGTATCTATCTGTGTATCTATCTTTGAGATTATCAGCTATCTTTGAAATTATCTATCTTTGAGATTATCTAACTATCTTTGAGATTATCTACCTATCTTTGAGATTATCTATTAATCTTTGAGATTATCTATCTATCTTTGAGATTATCTATCTCTGAGATTATCTATCTTTGAGATTATCTATCTTTGAGATTACCTATCTTTGAGATTATCGTGAGATCTCTGAGATTATCTCTTAGATTTTCTTTGAGATTATCTTGTCTTTTAGATTATCTTTTAGATTATCTTTCAGATTATCTTTCATATTACCTTTTGGATATCTTTCAAATTATCTTTGAGAATATCTTTGAGATTATCTTAGAGAATATCTGAGATTATCCTTAAGATTGTCACTTATCCAAGAACATTAACAAACTTCTCTAATTAACTAGTTAAGTTGACTTGATTTTCTACACTCTAGAAAACTCAATCTTTCAGAAAGATCAACCTTTCCTACATGAGACACCAAATCGGAGATTTAAAACTTATATCACTTTAAATTTCCGTAAAGATATTTAAAAGAATTAAAATTTACGTCGAGAGTTAACCGTAAGGGAGCAACAAACAAGGGCGTCTATGCCGGAGGGTAAACTTGTTGGGGTAGGCGAAAAGGCTCCAGAGGGAATTCGTCGTCCTGCTTTGACCTCTTGCCGCTAACTAAGCTTAGCCCATTTCTTTAAATAAAATATTGCTCAATTTTTGATCTAATTTTATCGAAATTTCACACGTAGAACCCCTATTCGGTAATATCTTTTATAACCCGTTTATTTATATGACTTTGGTACTGCAATATTTTACTGTGGTCACATCATATCCATTCCTTTCCCCATCATCAAAATAATTAAAATTAAATATCTCGAATTTCATAAATTAATCTATGACTGACAATACGATTTTCGTCAACTTAGATCAACAGATGTTTCAATCATCTTTCCTCCATATTATTCCACCACTAACCAGTTCAGCGGTCCAGCTTTAAATGTTTATAACAGGTGTGATCGGTCCTTCATACTAATACCTAAAGCGGCTACACTTTGGACATCTCTTCCTCAACAAGTTTTTCCTGAACCTTCCAATACTGTATTTACATCCGAATTATTATATTTTTTTGATACAAAATAGTAGATACCTACTAAATTGTGGCACAAAAAATTATGATGCCTGTTTTATGTCAAATTAAATCATGATTTTGTCAGTGCTCATTAATTCCTCCAAAACGGAGGAAACATTTTGTTCCGTTCCCTTTTTTAACCACAGCCGTCTATGCATGAAATGACTACAAACGTTTATTAAACATTCAGAATGCCCCACAATATGCTACAATTAAAATTACATTTCGTAAATCATTCCAGGTCTGGTTTCAGTTTTATTTACCTGTCTCAGACACGGAAAAAGTTGTAAAGTCAGCAATCGATTGGCATAAAATCAATTTGGCAGGAATTCCCATGCAGCATACTTAAATATGGCCTACGTGTCGTACTTTTGAAATGGACCTATGGCGAAGCCCTACGTGAGCTTCTCGAACACTCCAGTCATGGACGTTCGTCGTCAGACGGTGGTCTATAGGTCATCGGATATTCCTGTACACAGCTGTGTCACGTCGGCATACGTGTTCGGGGTGCTACTGGTCTTATAAAATCCTACCCCTTCGATTCAACACAGATAAGTGTGTGTATCACGTGGTCTCTACTACATTCTGCATCAAATTATCAAACACCCGTCTAGGAAGGGTCTAGGTATTTAAAATAAAATTTACGCAATGCCTTTGACTTTTAATGTCTGCATATACTTTTATCGTAATTAGAGTCTACACTGACATTTTAAATTCATTACAAAGTAGAAGAACCATTAATGAATTATATTTTTTTTTTGTACTGAGGACATGTTTGCTGTGCTGAATTACTAGACAAAAATTATTTGTGTATTCCTGATTGTTGTTTTAGAAAACACAACCATTTCATACAACAAATTATCTTAACTGATGTCATTAATTTCAGGTGGTGATTCTTTATCATATTTTATGAAAAAAAGTTTACATAAACGTGTGTCCTAACTTGCATCGTTTCCGATAAACGGGGTGTCAAAAAATGTTTTGAAATTTGAAATTATATGATATTTTTATGGTAAAAATCATTTTACGGAAACGAAGCAAGTTAAGACACACGTGTACATGAACTTTGTTTCATAAAATAGGACAAGGAATCAGCACTTGAAATTAATTACATCAATTAAGATACACCCTGTATAGAAAGCGATTATTCCCACTAACAAGTCCCAGGTGGTTTTATTCTAAAGGGTTTCTTATTCAAAATGGTTTTCCATTTAATGTAATAAATTTTGGATATAGGTATTGTAGTAGTGGACCTCTAGACCAAATACAGGGTGTTTTCATGATGTTGAGACATAGCTTAATTATATACTCCTGGGATAAAAAGAAGATTATAAATAAAAACAGTAGGCTGTAATCAATTTTTAAAATTTTTGGTATGGCATGATCACTGATAATAAGTCACTTTTTGAGATCGTTTTGGTGATCTTCAAGAGTAAGTTGTATGTGTACAATGGTGCATCCATCCAGAGTTTAAGTCTGGAGGGTAATGGTAATATTTAAGACTTTATTGTGTGGCGGCGTCCATGCAACCTACTCTTTTTATACGTATATATTTTTTTATTTTCACGCCTTATACTTGCTTAACCAGACTTTTTTGGATGTACATTAAATAATCATCTTCTTTTTATCCCAGGAGTCTACAACCTTTTTGAGACACTCTGTATATGTCCATGGGTCACTTAGATCACATGCCATTAAACTTTAAAAAATTATTTTTTTTTCTTTTACCGTTGATATGTTGTTATAATGTAATGGTAACTTACATACAGAGTGGATCACTCAAAACAATTCACCCTGTAATTTGGAAGTATTCATTGGATTTTAAGAAAATGCTGAAACAGGTCGAGGGGTTGACACATGACAGATGTCTGTATTGTACAAATGTATCTTAAAATCCAATGAATACTGCCAAATAACAAGGTGGACAGTTTTAAGCAGCCGCTCTGTATATATGTTGTCACACATTAACGATTGTTTCGAAGCATCATCAGTGCTGCTTTGCATTAGCTCTGAAAACACGAGGATGTTTACTGAAATGGGTTATAAACTTCAATGTTGTTTTTTTTTATATTTATTAATAGTTAAAGGATAAAACTAAACGTTAACTAATTTTCTAATCGTCCTATATACCTAGTTATCTAAGCTAATGTAACTTTAAATATCCATAACAAGTTATATGGAGTATAGCAGGTCATATGCTGCTACGTAAAATTATGCATAAATTGATAGTTTCGTTTTTCATATGATACATACTTTAACTTTTTGAATTATTAGTGTCACTTTTATGGCCTAGGCAAGCTACCCGCGTGAATATTAGCCATTATATTATATCCACGACTATTAAATAATTTAGCTAAAACTACATTCTATACATTTTTATAAACTAACTTGCAAATTACCCTGTATTTTTATTATATATTTATACGGTTATATATAATACATATATTGCGTTTGTATAATAGATTTCTTACCTTTGTTGTAGGATATTTGTCGTCAGAAGCTTCAGTAATAAATTTATTTATATCATCAGTAGAAAAAATTCTGGCTTTTTTAGGCTGAAGACCTTCAAACTCCATTTTAAAAGACATCTCAATGTGCTGTAATTTTAAATGTTTATACCATTATTTAAGTTAATTGCAGATACTTCTCAGCATATAGTAGTTTGTCCATAATGTTGATGGTTTATATTTTGTAAAACATTCTAAAAAAGATTTATGCAATTTTCTTGACATACAAAATTTTCTAGATTTTTCAGGTATTAAGTTTGAACTTACAATTTTTGAGGCGTCTTTTATATTTGGAGATGTACACGACATCTCATTTGCATTTTTTAAAGTTTTTCTAACGAAATAATTTAAAACTGTGGGGCTTAAATAAATCGAACAACTTTTTGACATTTCCCATTAAAATTAACCGTGACAGCGCTCTGACATGACATTTCATAGCCGGCTTTGTTTTTTATCTTTTATGTGTATGTACAAAATCATATTGCAAGTTTGAGTTTTGGTTTGATTCTATAGTCAAAGATACGAAGTAAGGTCGACCTTCGCCTATTTGGTTACCGGATGAAAGTTGTTTTTTTTTTATTAAATAAAATGTTTATAAATATACCGCAAATGGGTTGACTAAGAAAACACTGTCGACTATTTATTTTCTTAAAGTAAAGAAACGACACTCTATAAAGTATCCCCCAGATGCTTCGATTGTGTCCAAAATTTAATCAGCTCACCACAGGATGGATTGAAGCTTAAGGTGTTTTTCTCTTTATCCGTTTTTGAGTTCTTCAAAATTCGAAATTTGCACTTTCCCTCAAATTTCTCGAATACGGTTCATTTTACGGATATCATGTATAGAAGAATTATAGAGAATGACATCACAAGCAACTTTTATCATGATTCCTATACTTTCCTTTTCTGTATACAGAAAGGAAAGTAAAAATAGCCTTGACAGTATTTTTTAGGCAACCCATTTGCGATTTGCGGTATATTTATTAAGATATTTTATTTAATAAAAAATACTTCGTATCCTGTACTATTAGAAGCCAGTGATTTAAAATCATTATTCACTAGTGAATAATTGATGTAATTATTATTTATCAAACTCATGTGTAATGGGAAAACAATAGATTAGTCGTGGATAAAAATGATTTTAAATGCCAAGGCAGTAAAAGTGATATTTCTTTGACAATTACCTATTCATTCATACATTATTATTATTATTATTATTATTATTATTAAAAAAAGTGATTTTGAAAATAAAAATCAACAAGTCTCTGTTGCAGTCGCCGGGAGTACGAGTCAGTGGTGATGGACTGTTGCCAACTAGACGACCCGAACCACGTAGTAAAGAGGGAGGAGGCGGGCAACAATGACCCTGAGAACGGATCACCAGACGCCGAACGTGGAGGTACGTTGACGTACCACCAATGCTAGTATATATATTCTAACTGATTCTGTGGTCAGATGACCTGAATGGCGGAGGCCTATCCAATCCACCCCAAGATTCGAGCCAAGAGTTGGAGGATGTCACCTGCGAGGGGAATCCCACCGACACCGAGACTACAGCTGCGCAAGAACCAGGGGATCTACGGACTCATCGGATGGATCTGGTAACGCAGCTTCAAGCGACACCCATCGTCAGCAAGGACCATCGAAAGTCCTACCCAGCTCGGAGAACTTCCAAGAGGAAAAACACGTCGTCGGATGAGAACGAAGAGGACGAAGTATCAGCGACTCATCGAAATTCAGCGATAAGCCCGGCTTCTTCTTGCCATTCCACCAACGGTGCCCATCCATTGGCTACGGACTCCAGCGAGACCAGTCCCAAGAAGCTAGAAGACTCAGTCAGCAGTGTAACATCGGTGAAAGATTTGGAGAATGCAATGTCGAAACATCTGCCGGCTTGCAAGTCTCCAATTCACCAACCAACCGATTTCAGCACAGATGCTCTTCTGAAACAACAGCAGAAAACCACTATCCAGTGGATCGGGGCTCACCACCAACAATTACAGCAGCAAGGACCTCTACCGGCTTCAGCTCTTTTAAGACAACTGTACGCTAATAGGGAAAGTGTTATTCGGGCTAATGTGCAGGGTAGTAGTAGATCTGGTAGTTCTCCCGGTTACTACCCTAATGACAGCCAAGTAGGGGTAGGGGCACTACCAACGCCTCCTAGTAGCGAGGGGTCTTCGTCTTATAGTGATCATCAGTTTTTGTTGTCACAACACCAGAACTATCCTACTAGTTACTATATGGACTATCACTCCATGACTCCCCCTTCGAGTGTATCTCCCCGTGATAAACATCAACAGTTACATGGAGGTGTTGCTTTTGACTCTGCGGTTCCATACCAGGATGTCTTAAGGCATCAATACCCCGATAGTCCTCTACCTCTAAAACCCCAAGTGTATTCGTATGTAGATCAACCTCAGTTTTATCACCACGGTTCAACAGGAACGGGGTTTCATTTGTATCATTCCAGTAAAAATACCCCAGGTACTCCCTCGAATTGGTACCCCCCATCATAGTAAAATGAGCGTACTTTTCTGGACAATTATTTATCAGTTCTTCAGCGCGATATGCTAACTTTTGTTTAAAATGCTTGAGTTGTTCCGTACTTTTCAGATGCAAAGTAGTGAAAGATTTTAACACTATAGTGTGTCTTCAACTATTTTTAAACCAAAGAAAATAATACAAAATAACATGAACAAACTGTAGTTGGACTTATTTAATAACAATTTATTGCAAATATTGTAGTATATCGAGTATATCTAGTACCTATTATGTTAATAAGAATGTAAATATTATGATTACATGTTATTTAGTATTATTCAACCTGAAGTGTCATTGTCCGCATTTTATATATTTTCTCATTTTGTCATTGTTGCAACTCGATATATTGGTTTAAACTGATTTGTTCGTTTCTGTATACTGATCTAATATGAGCAGCATTCTCTCGTAGGTACAAAACTTGTAAATATATTTTTGTTAAATTAATGTTATAT